AATCGAATTTCATTTTACTTCATTGAATCAATGCGCATAACCATCAATCAATGGAGTGTTTATTGGAATTGCATGAGCTGGAACAAAGAAGGAGCATTACAAGAATCAATAAGTACAGCAAAAAATAACGCTGTCTAATCTCATATTTTGCCCTTGAGGAATGATTAAATATACACACGTGATATTTTTCGCATGAAGGCTGTCGTTTTTTTCTTTCTTCATTTTCTTTCGATATTATCAGCGGCGAAATATATATATATACATAAAAGATTTGTTTCTTTAGTAGTAACTATTTGTCAAGTGCAAAATATCTTGATATACCATGCAATCTGTTTGTTGGTTTTTCATCCTTCTCGTAGCTCTTGTAACAGTGGTGAACGGAGAACGGATTGAGCACAGCGATATTCTATCGATTTCAAGTGGAACTTCATTTGGAGAATGTATTGGATATTGTCGTCAATCGATAACTATAACACCCAATTCACCTCAAGTAACTGCTTCAAGAGAGGCAAACGGCAACCCAGCAGATTATCCACCAGTTCACGTCAAATTTCCCTTAAGTTTGAACGAATGGATCAATCTGGTCAGTTTCGTAAACTTGGAAACCTTTCAAAGATTAGATGACAGAATTGGATGTCCTGATTGTGCAGATGGTGGAGCAGAATGGGTGCAAGTCGACTGGGCAAATGGAAGTAAACGAGTAACATTCGAGAATGGACAAACAGTAAAAAGTATCGAAAGATTCGTCACAAAACTACGTCAATTGCGACAAGTTTATCTAAGTAAAATGTAAACTTCGCTGCAGTAATTATTTTCAAAAATAAATTTGCTAAGAGACTGCACATTATTCGTTCTCATCACTTTGTTCAAAAGCATACTCTCTAAGGAAAATCCAAACTTCTTCGGAAACGCGTAAAAGATTTACGAAAAAGTTTTCGGGCTCTTCAAGGATTTTCGGAAATATCTTCTTGGCTTCCGAAATATTTCCTGGAGAAGTTAAAGAGTATCCAAACTTGTTGAACTCCAAAAAAGTATAATGGAAAACCTAAATCAATTTTCAAATTTTCGTTTGACAACCTTAAAAAAATCTCGCAATTTTCAAAAACCTCTTACAATGTTCTAGAACAATATCTTAATTAGAATTCAAAAACCTTTCGGAAAAGTGCATTTGGTATCCAATTTTTTTTTCACCAGCTCCGTTTTCTCTCAGCTTCAGAGGCCCCAGAGAAAAAGGAACTATTCATACACAGTGTCTCCAGAGTCACTTTATACTACTATCGGAATTTTAAAAGAAGGGTGTGGGTGTGGGTGTCTCTTTCTCTACACTCACCCTTACATCCACACCCACACCTACATCCACACCCACATCTACACCCACACCCACACCCGCATCCCCAGTATAGTAGCCCTTGGGGACTTCCCCTTATAGCCTTATTTGACCTTTAATCTTTGACCTTTGACTCGACACAGAGAAACACACAGACACTGAACATTATATATAGATAGATAGATAGATTGGAGAAAAAGATATGCTCTTGTCTCCTCTTTCGATTGGTGAAAATCGCAGGTCTCTAGCTGCTAGCGCTCTTGAGTTATTCAAAAAACAATGGAGTACAGTCTATTTTGAAATGAATAATAGAAATTGTTGAATGATATTCCATACCTAATAATGGTACAAACGTTTTTTTTTTGCAAGACTATAAAATGGTAAATATTCGTAAAATAGATCTAAATAAATTTTTTCAATTAATACTTTAGTTTATTTTCTTAATCGAATTACGTTGTTGAGCCATTTCATATTCGTCGTTCTTACTTAGAACTTGGTTAAAATAGGAAAAAACTTTGAACAAAATACGTTTCATACAACATGTAATATTAATAAATGTAATTCTTCACTGCTGCCCTTTATTATTTGTTTCTTTCAAAAATCATTGGAATTCGAACTTGTTACTAAAATATCATCGATTGTTAATACTCAATGGATCCAAAAACTTCTTGATACAAGTAATTTAAATAAGATTTATGGTGAATTGACAGATGAAAATGTGTGGGATACTAGTTTTCAAACATAAATATTAATCTTAAAAAATTTATTTCAGTTAAAAATTCCACGCTTGCCTTCAACTATTTGCTTTGAGATAAATGAAAGATTTTGCTTTGTTTTTTCCCATGTAGAAAATTGGTGAATTAGTCTTATTGATTATTTACTTGTGTTGAAACCTGTCATAGAGACGTAATTATCAATGAAAAAGTATGAGCAAAAATGGCTCGGTTAATATGGATCTTGTACATGATTCAATTGATTCTTACAATAAGTTAATCGTTTGTTTTTTTTTGTTTTTTTTTATATAAATAATGCGATACGTATCCTGATCGATCTGATTATGATTAGGACGTTTAAAACGTAAATCAACATTTCTTCTTATCTATTTATTTATCTTTTATTTAAAAAAAAATCATCTTTATTTTCGTAGATGGAACATCGAAAAAAAATAACAATCATACAAAGAAAAGATTGAATAGTTTTTCATAGGCCACCAACAATTACCTATTTTAAATCTTAAGAATCACCACCAGCACCACCATTAGTAACATTTCGATTGTTAAAATCGTCCTTTAAACATCGTACATCATTACGTAAATCACCCATACCACTTGCTATTTTCACCATATCACCATGTAATTGATTAATGTTCTGGTTCAAACTGCTAACACTGGTAATTAATTGTTTAATAGTATATGTTAGATCATGTAATTGACGACCGACTAGTGTATTCGGATCATAAGCAGACATTGATGAATCAATTTGAAAATTTGAATTGTCACTAGATGTTGTTCGATTAATTCGACCACCTAGTTCATCATTATATGCTGATGGTGATGAATATGAACGATTATTAATTTCATTACCGCTACCAACATTAGCTGTCATAGAAGAAGTTTCTTCAGCATTTGGATTGTTTTCATCTTCTGGTAGAATAGTCACATCCATAATGTCACCAGCAGAGGTGCAGAATCTATCCGAGTGCGCCAGCGCGCGCTTGGGGAAATTTTTTGGATCTGGGGAAATTTTTAAAAAATAGTTAAGTGAATAAATTTTGAGACATTGTTGAGTGGGTAATCTTTTGAAAAATTGTTAAGAGGGAAAATTTTTGGAAATCTGTTAATTGCAAGGTTGTTACAAAAAGTGACTTTTTTCTATGTGAAAAAAATACCAAGTGTCATTGCTCTATCCACAAGTTTCTTGCCTTTGTGCTATCAACTATCTCTCTTGTTGGTTTATTTACTTTTTATTTTTTTTTTTGGTTGGGGAAATTTTTCGAAATAATTTTAGCGCTTGGGAAAATTTTTTGTCTTTACGGCAGATTCTGCACCTCTGGTCACCAGCACCGTGCTTCTCATCAATTGTATCTGACCTAATACGAAACTTTGAAAATAATCACAAAGAATAAAATGAAAAGAAAGATATTAGTTTCCATTTTAAGCAATGTTTATCCTCTATTAAACGTAATTTAAGGATTGATTTCTCACAGTGCGCCACTACTTGGGAGCTATAATCAACGCCATTTCGTCTGCATTATCAATTCTGTTTTTTTTATTGGTGATTATGAGAGAAATACATGATTCATATCTTTTTCTCTTTCTTTCACATAATATTCATGTATCTTCTATATTATTTTATTTCTTAAAATTGTGATTGATTCTTTTTAGTACTCTGAATGATGGAACTTTGCTCCTATTTAAGTCAAACTCATCGTTTTCAATCTACATCATCTGCAATTTTTCGTAGTCATTTAACAAATAATGAAATTCGTGCTTATCTTCTTCGAATATTTGCTAAAGAATGTTAAAGTCAAAGAGAACATATTCGTCGTGTAGAAAAAAATTGAAATCGGTGTTCAAGATCCAATTGAATCAAGAAAATTATTAATGAATAAAAATTTATCAACATCGTATCATTGTGCTCGACGTTTATCATCAGTTTTAGTTGATCAATTTTGTTTAGCTTTAATTACTGATGAACATTTATGAGATATGAATCGTCCATTAGAACATGATTGTAAATTAAATTTCTTCATTCTATGGAAGAAAATTATCAAGAACAAAAACGTGCTTATTGGAGAACATGTTCATTTATTATTGTATTATATACTTGAAACAGCTTTTAAATCAAATTATAATGTTGAACTTTGTTCATTTCCACCACCACCACCACCACCACAATTTCAATATGGATCATTTGCTTATGATATCAAACTTAATCTTGGTAATATTTCATTTAGATTTAATTTTCAAAAGAAAATCTTAATTTTATTTGATACATTTAAGGAGATTGGCAACCAAGTCGTGATGATTTTCGTTATGTATCAATTCAAGCCTATAAATTATGTGATCATGATCTTCGTTTTAAATATTTAGATATAACACAAAGTGTATCTGAACAAATGTTTGCATATGATTGATTTAAACTTGCACGAATTCATCATATGCTTCATTTGATGTCACCATTAGATACTCAAACACGTTTTTCTGCTTATCGAATAGGTGATTGTCATGTTGATATAAAACGTGGACCATTAATATCATTAATCAAACAAATCGGAAGATTTGAATTTAGTGCTATTCATCAGATTGATATTCCATCATATGGAGAAACAATGCAACATGTTCAAGCACTTTCAATTCTTTCTCAACTTCACTTACATTATTGGACATTTGATTATTTATTAGAAAGAGCAAAAAAGATAAATGGGACATCCGTACCATCGTTAGCAAAGAGTAAAACATCAGATAATAAAACAGAATAACTAGAATAGTTTGCTTTGTTTTTTTCAATAACATATTGTCAAGTTATTTTTCACTTGTTATATGTTTAGTAAAACATTATTTGATTTCTTTGTTTTGAAAAATTAATAAGACTAATACTTATCCTTATTATTTAGAAAACTATTTACCTGTGGTAATATCAATACCAACTGATAATTTGATGTTGCGTAGTCTTATTGAAATTTAACAATTGTTTCTTGTTGATTATGTCCAGTATTTTGAGTAATAGCCTTTGGAATAATTAATAATGATTCAGCAAATGTTTGAACACCTAAACGTGCACGATCTTTTACTTGTTTCTTATATTGAGTAAGTACTTGATGAGTAACTATTTCAAAAGCATCATCACTAGGAATAATACAACCTAAACAAAAAGCTATTAGTGCAATCGTTGTAGGATTAAGATGTAGAACATAACGTCCCACTCTCTTTAGATCGTGTTTCACATAAACAACTGATAAATCTAGAAATAAAACTAATCATCTTTAGTTGCATTTGTTATTGAACAAAATCTATCACAAAGAATATCTTTCAATTGATTTAATAAATATTTTGTTGAACCTTTGAGTAAAATTGTTACTGATTTGGGATTTTTATAACCTTCGACAAAAGTAAATTTTTCTTCACTCTAACAAACATTTCAAGTATAAAAATAAACTCAATAAATAGTAGTTTCCAGAACATGTTCATAAACATCTTCAGCAAAGCCAAAATATTCTTTTGTTAAATTTTCAAGCAAACTAATTAAAAAATAATTCGAAATTACTACGTAAAAATTCTAATTTTCCTTACTTCATAGCTCCATCATCATATGTTAAAGTCAAACGTTCCATATTTCGATGTTTAGCACGTCTTAATGCCAAGATTCCATCTTTCGTTAATACATTAAATGATAATGAATCAATACCTTTTTGATTAATGATAACAAATGATTTATTTTTATTATCATCCGAGCAATCTTTTTCGTTTAAATTCATTTATTTTTTGAATACGATCATCAATAAATTTACGTTCAGATGCAACAAGACGATCACATTCTTCAGCATTTTTATAAAAGAAACTACCATTAACTTCTTTGAAAGAACAAAAATATTATTATTTGATTTTATTTATCTAATCAATCACATACATTTTTTCATATTTTAATGAAGCATTACAAGTTAACCTTTAAAAGCCGATGGAATTTTCTTGACATTCAGAGAAAACTGACTACTAGAATCGAGCATCTGAACCATCGATATAATCATGTTATAGTTTTAAATAAATGCGGAAACCTCGGATTTAAATCCGAGAGTTATGTGTACTTCAAAAAGTGAATGAGACAGATGAGTCGTTCTAGAATGTAGGGATATAAAAATTATCCTGGCAAAGCTTTACTATAAACACTTGATTTCTATTGGCTACTGCTCAACCAATAGGATTTAGAGCTGAATAGAGCTCAGATTTGAACTCTTCACCTTGATTTACCCTAATAAAGTCGTTTTTTCTATAACTTGATTTCTATTGGTTACTACTCAACCAATAGAAGTTCGAGGCAAACGGAGCTCAGATTGGAGTTCTCCGACCCAAAAAATCTCGAACTGCCATCTCTATGATCGAAAGACAGAGCTCTAATTATTGATCAATTAGAGTGTGAACACAAACAGAACCAATTCCCGTTTAATTATCTTTGCATTAGGTGAGTTAGTCTTCTTATTTCTTTATGTTTTATATACCATTTTGTAGATCGTGAAATTCTCTATCGAATGGTGTATAATAGTTGGGGTTTTATTTGACTATAATAGGAAAAGTTTTTTACGAAAGCGGGGATAGGTCGATCTTCTCACATTCGTTCTGTGAGATTACCTTCTGAGTTGGCGGAATCTGATCGATCTCGAAATCAAACTCCTATGATGATATTAGACCAAGGAAGCGTACGTGCCGTTTCATACTTCAATTCAGAGCAATCAACTAACTTTATTAAAGGACATTCAACGTTCGTTATTCATGTTACCACTTTCTTTGGTGCGTGTGATGTTTGTGTTGGTCTTTTGTCAAATCCAGGAAGTCGAGTTGCACGTGAAGCTTTTCAACTAGACCCAATCTCAATAATGCTGCGTGCTTATCAAGAATTTGTTTTGGATGTCAATTCAATTCAAGAATACGATAGTTCATTACTGTCACAATGCTTTTCACAGGTTTTTGCTGCATTTGAATTACTTGGCAACGACGCATCAGACAGACTTTTGGCAAGATATATAGCTGAAATGCATGGCTCTAATTATTCAGACAATGCCAGAAAATATTTAGAGGATCTTCCATTATCACAATTAGAAAACACCGCAACCGAGTATTTTTGAACAGCAACTGAACTTGTTGAAGGCGACTGCCGATGACGAGAAAAATATTTGCGACGAAACACGACAGAAGGCTAAGGATTTACATAAAAAATTATCAAATACTATCAAACACCGTGATGGTCCACAACTGATACCTTTGAATTTAGAGTTCACTCAACTTTGCCGATATTTGTGTGATTTGCATACTCATCAAGATCAAGATATTGACATCATTAAAGAAACTCTCAAATCTGTCATGGCACCATATTTTTTCATACATATTAAACTAAATCACTTAGTTGGTGCTTTCGATAAAGGTATTATACAGACTAGTCTAAGATGGGCTGCTACGGATGTGGGGGCGTTCGGTGCCATTCCGATGGTGGGCCCCGACCTTATGCGTTTCGTACACTTAGCTACCAATACATTCATATCTTGCAATACCGAATGATTGTCTGGTTTAGAACTACTAAGAAAAACATTAAAAGAATTGGCCATTGAATTGTTGCAGTCAAGTGGGGAACGTGTACACGAAAATGAAGACGAGTGGCAAATCCTAACTCTAATAAAAGGATGCGCATGGTCACAAAAACTAATAGAAATTAGATCTGAACAAGAACTAGATGCACTTTGGAATCAAACATTCAAATGTAAAAGCTTGTTTGACCGTGGTAAGTTATTGATAAGTAACAAAGTAACTGGTAGCGGAAAATCTACCCGTTACCTCTAGCAGATATTGGGTAACGGTAACTTTACGAGTTTATCAAACTAAAAACAATCTAAAAGCTACAATTTTCTAAATAAAATTTGAATGAAATCCTTCAAAGTCGAAATATTCGAATCTGGCATCGGTTCGTCAAAACTGATCACTTTCCTTTTTCCTTAGAATAAGGCTATACTGGGAAATGAATAAATTTTTGTAAAAGAATATCAAAACTGTGAATTGTAATAATCCGCTCATAGATATCGATTCTTCGACCTCAAAGTTTTAGTAGTACCTATTTTTTTTAATTCGGTTTAGTTTAGATAATTAACTAAGTGATACTATTGAACGCTTGAAAATATTGAATTTTGTCTATTTAGCATTTGATTTTTAATATTGAGTGTAACTGAAAAAGCTTGTTCAAATCAAATCAATTGATAGAGAAAAGCTGTTAACAAATCAAATTTCAGCGCGGTCTTTTTTCTGGATTATAAAAGATGAGCGTCACCTTGTTCAGAACGATATAAAGTTTGCCTAGCATGTTTTCTCATACCATCCGAATAGTAGTATGTTTTATCGTTAAAACAGAGATAGCATCAAACACAAAAGTTGGATATATAGAATGGTTCGGATCGATTAAATGTCAATTAGAGGCGTTTTTTTATGCGTTGCGAAAAACGATATGTTGGGTCCGTGGCGAAGTAAAGAACAATTTAAAATTAAATCCTATTTGGCTAATGCGATTAGTTAAGCTTAATTTTCAGTGAACTAACGTTAAGTTTTTCAATGACTCTTTGTTTTAAAAATTAATTGTCAAACAGCAAATGACAGCTTAATATTAAGTGTTAGTTGTAAAACTTACTTTCAATTTAAGCTAAGTTAAGGAATGCGAACTAATCACGAAAATCTCTAATCTAACTGTATGAAAGATCGTTATTTTGAAAGACTATCTTTCACTTGATAGATCTACTTATCTTCAATTGCTTGCTACCTGGTAATGTAGTTGCCAAATAACTGTAACGCTTTTGTCTTAGGTTTGATTAGTGCTATAGGCGAGCATCGCCGGATTTGGATGGGAATAATTCGACTTTGTCCTCTGCTTTGTATTATGCGAGACATATTAGTACAAAAATCACCAAAAGTTGTGATTTCTGGTAGATCACAAACGGGAAAATCGACGTTGTTCAAATATCTTACCGGGCGAAATTTGAAAGAATTGCGAAACATCAACGCATTCAATACTCGAATGTCATCACAATGTCCAGCTTTTATCAGACTCGATAGTAAAGACAACGATGAGTCGGGGCTATCAATTGATATTGTGGATAATCCTGGACAAGACGATGCCACTGGACAAGCGAAAAATTTACTGGACATGTCATTGTATTCAGCTAGCCTGTTTATTCTGGTAACTACATTGGCTGATGTCAATCAACAGTATCCCATCCAGTTACTCGACAGAGTTTTGAAAGACACTCAAATTAACATTCTAGTTCTAATAAATCAGATTGACTTGCGACTACTTTCAGCATGGGAAGATTTTAAAAATCAAAGAGCAAATGACGATGAATCCGATAATGACGACTGGAGCAATCCGAAGAAAGAATCGATTAATCATGTCATAACCAACTCAATAGAAGACTTCAGTGCAGTTAATACTATAGAAAAATTGATTGAACGGCCGAAAAGGAAATTAATCACTGGATTGACAGTAGATAAAACAGAAATCCAGAATCGCATTACAATTATACCAGTTATTCTAAAAGATTTTTCTAAAACAAATCCGACATTCGACAATTTAAGAGAATTTGCGTGTCGTAAAAAAGACTTTTCGTCATTAGTGCACAAATCTAATGTTGACAAATGGATAACACAAAATTTAATAGGATCAACAACTTAATATATATTTATCAGTATTCTATTAATAAAGAAATATTACAACGAAAGAAAAATAGAAGACCGATTTCTATATACAACATTTTTTAAATCTAGTCAGAAATGCTTTTCTCATTAAATCCATGATTACATACGAGGTAGTTGCATGTTCATTGCACCTTCACAATACCCAGTAAATGATTTGGAATAGAGATGGGTATGGGTGTGTTCAGCTACTATGATATCGATATTTCATCTCAGCAACGAGAATTTTCAAATGGCACTTGTAACGAATAAGATTCTTAAAGAATTTCTCGAAACAAAGTTGATTCTATATTTTTACTCGCAAGTAATGATAGAACCGTTTCGGCAGTGGTGTGAGGTGTGGGTGTGGGTGTTTGTGATGGTATCAACCATGTAGATGAATAGCTAGCAAGACGCATTGTGACAAGTGCTAAGTATGACTTGTCAATTGCCAAGTATGATTGATGTTGTACTATAGTTCTCCTACTATGGATCAATAGAGTTAAAAATTGAAGGGTGTGGGTGTGACTGTGGATGTCAATGAAGATAAGGATCACATTTTACACCTACACCCACACCCTTTTTTCTGTTTTAGAAATAATTAATTGATCACAAAAGAACATATGAGCATAAATAATGAACTTGAAAAAGAATAAATAAAATGTAGAGTTGACCTTATTAGTCATTATTGAAAAATCTAATTTCTTCCGGAATAAAATAAACGAAAAAAAAAATCTAGTTGATGTACGTCATTGTGTGTTGTTTTCTGTTTTTTCGTTCTTCATTCTATTTCTTTTTATTTGACTAATGAATTAATCTTGCGTAAGGAGAATGAAAAAAATCTGGTCCCTATGAGGATCGAACTCATGACCTCCGCGTTATTAGCACGGCGCTCTAACCGGCTGAGCTAAGGGACCGTTGTCGTCTGATGTGAAAAATAATTTCTAGACATGGATAATTTCTATAATATTGAGATTAACTATTTTTAAAATATAAAATTTGCACACTCCTATGCAAAAGATTTTCATAGAATTCAATTCTCAAGAAAAATGTTATA